CACACACACACACACACACACACACACACACACACACACACACACACGAAGAGTCAACAACGATAATAAAATCTCACACACGTGAACGCACAGCTTGATAGGGTTTAATGAAGACTGATCCACACACAAGCAGGGAGACACTTCYAACTCACACACTTTAAAATGTGCACACAAGATGCTCTTTGTTGAGTGCCCACACACTTTGCCTCTCACATTTGCAAACGCACTTAAAAAGGCAMAAACACTCTTATAGTCATACCTTAAAGATCTATTTTATGTGGGAAAATCATTCGCGTTTGAACACATTCGTGCACAAACACTCATCAGGACTGATTTGGACAGCGCTGACAGAGCACTGGACCTGCCTCTGTGTCCCAGTCAGCAGCGCACGACAGCACTGCTCAGACAGAACGATGGACCGGCAAGGAAGAGGAAACGGCAGAGATGTAGAAAGTTCCTGTGAACATAAAAATGCTAAAGTAAAACAGGAACTGAAAGCAAGTTTGAATGCTGGAGATTTTTGTTATTTATTTTTTATGGTGCAGAAATGTAAGGAGTTAAAGTCAATTAGGAAGAGGAGGAGGAGGAGGAGGAGGAGGAGGAGGAAGAAGAAGAGAGAGGGCTGACGGATGAGAACAGAACCACAGGGAGAGATGAAGAGGAGGATGTTTTTGGCTCGACTCTTTGTTCAGGCAAAATGCAGGAGACCTGCCAGAATGCGTAGACAAAGGAGGAAGAGGAGGGGAGAGGGAATCAGAGAAGGTCATGCAGGCTGAGCAACAGACATGCATCCTCACAGGATTAGCACAGATTTAAACAAAACCATTTAACAAAGTGGGGGGGGGGGTGTCAGAATGCATGCAGAGAGCACTAACTTCTGTTTTAATTCATAATACTGTAGCAATTACCAATTTCATGCAACTGAGAAAGGTAGATCGAATTAGTTATTTGTGTTTGAATTAAAGTCATTTAATGCAATAAAACTCAGGTCAAAGGGAGGTCCAGAGGGTAGATGAATGATGACACATAGAAATATAGAGTTTGGGGTATAAGACAAAAGGATTTGGAAAGATTAAGAAAAATGTATTAAACAGAAGGGTGACGTGGAGACGGAGATTCTGGTGGGAAATCAAAACTGATTATGAAGGAAGAATAAGAGGTGGGTGGCAAATCAAGTGTATCCAAATTTCTAACAAAAAGAGCAGATACACAAGTCTAATTTAAGAAAAAGACAATTAATGTTAAATGAACAAAAAACAGTGATGTAACGTGTTCAACTTGAAGATTTTGTGCTGAACTGCTGGATTCTCTGCAGCTTTGACCAATATGTTGAGAAGATGTTCAGTATTGGATTTCCTGCAGATAATCCTTCTTCACAAGGGCTCCTACGATCATTTTATATTACATCTTTGCAATGAAATGTATTCCCTTAAAGACCATAAGATTGGCGGTGGACTATATTGAACTAAAAGTAAACATACTTAAACTTTACTTTAAGTTGAAATTGAAATTCAGTTTAGTTATCCAGAATAAAAGACAATTCTTGCTGGATATTATTATCCAAATAAAAGTGATAACAAACAAAGAGGTGGGTGACAAAATACAGTTCATTAATGTGTCTCTGTTATTTGCTGTTCTATGAGC